CATTGCGACCTTAGTGTGGTTGAGAGAGGAAAAGGGAGCTAGTTGGAGTTTCTGCCCGAACTAGCCAGATTTTGAGACCCTAAGGGGATCTCAAGTGGAGAAATCAGTTGTCCTAGTGAGAATTTCATTCACCTCAGGAGTTGAAGGTGCATCCCTGATTTAAAAGGTGGAAACGTGGTGAACCTAGAAATCTTTCGCTGCAGGCTTTATTCTGACTCCAGGTTCAGCAGCTCGACTTTTCTAGTTCCCCCACCTCGTCGGGGTAACTCGGCAGAAGCCTTTGCATGACAATGGCCTTGGTGAGCCTGGCAGACGGGATTAACTGAGAATTCACAAGGGTGTGCGGGGGCGTGGGGCTGCCGGGAGGGGCGGGTCTAGGGTGATAGAGCCTTCATTATAAATCTAGAGACTCCAAGATCTGAACATTTTGCGGGATTGAGCTGGTTGCCTCCTGCTGTTGTGGAGGGGACTGTCTTCATCCTGACTTTTGGTTCATTTTTACACCTGGAGATTGTATTTAGATATTTAGGTCCTAGCCTTTGCTTTTATTATTAAAGTCCACCTCTTTCTCAGCAACATGAGTGCGGATCCAGCGTGTCCCCAAATCCTGCCTTGCTCCGAAGCACCTGATTCTAGGGACTCTTCACCGATGCTGGTGATTTGTGAGCCTGCGGAAGAGTATCCACCCTCGCAAATGTCCTCTGCCGAGATGCACGCGGAGACCGGTAAGAAGAAACGAATCCTTGGAAGGCCACGTTCCTTAAGGGAAAGAGGGAAGGAAGAGGGTTAAGGGATCATTCCCCTCGGGAGCAGTAACAGCCCACCGATGTAAGCAGGTGTCACTATCTTCTAACCCTCTGGGCACCCTTCTTTAAATTGCAACTCGGTGGCACGTGCCCTTTAGACCATGTCCCAGGTTTCAGGAGTCGTGGACTGAGATAAAGGACGCAGAATTTGGGAGTTTGTGTGCCGTGTATTTGAGGACCTGTGTGCTTAGGCACTGTGGGAACATAAATGCGTTGCGATAATTAAATGAGGCGATGTATAAATCTTAACATAGCGCTGGGCACACAATTAAGTGGATGTTATGCCCAATTAGCCGGAGACCTGACACCACAGCTTGGGGACGAGCATCACATTTGTGGTTGGCCAAAAAGGGCATGGCAAATCAGGGTGAGATTTATATAATTAATATCATGTAATTACGTTCTTTCTACGATAGCAGTAGCAGTTGGCTCTTCTCCCACCCGTTAGGCACGTGGGTGCCCCTGGGCAGCTCTGACTTGGGGAGCACCTGCTGCTCACTTCTAAATCCCAAGGAAGTGTTGACTCAGTTTTATGGTAAAGATAATTCCAGAAAGTTTAATCTGCTGACAGTCCAACACAAGGCGGCTAGAAATCCAGTCTGGCTTCAAACCCTGTGGTGTAGGACTCATGCTTCTACGTGGTAGAGATGTAAGAGATACTCAGGACTCTCTAAAGACTTTTTTTGGGAAGTCAATATTATTTCAGTACTTAAAAATTAGGAAACAAGGCTTAGAATTTGGTGGTATGCCTCTTTGAGCCCGCCGGAGAAATAAAAGCTGATTCTCAGGGGGGGAAAAATTTAGGAAACAAGCCAACTTTTATGGAAGGCCATTTTTAACCTTTATGGTGTAAAATAGCTTAAAATCGAACTCACATTACAACTAAAACTATAAAAAATAGGTTGTGGGAAAGGAACTGGTGAAAATGTCTGCCTTATTGAGCATTAGATTTTAATGTCGTTCGGTTTTTCTATACTTGGTGTTTTGTTTTGTTTTGATCGGGCAGCTCCCGAACCCGAATAGGTTCAGAAATACTCCCTAATGTTCTTGCTTCTATAATTTCAAATGTTGGCCGTGCGCGGTGGCTCACGCCTGTAATCCTAGCACTCTGGGAGGCCGAAGCAGGCGGATTGCTCGAGGTCAGGAGTTCGAAACCAGCCTGAGCAAGAGCGAGACCCCGTCTCTACTATAAATAGAAAGAAATTAATTGGCCAACCAATATATAGAAAAAATTAGCTGGGCATGGTGGCGCATGCCTGTAGTCCCAGCTACTCGAGGCTGAGCAGCAGGATCGCTTGAGCCCAGGAGTTTGAGGTTGCTGTGACGCAGGCTGACGCCACGGCACTCACTCTAGCCTGGACAACAAAGTGAGACTCTGTCTCAAAAAAAATTACATATATATATATATATTGCATATATATATATAATTTTAAATGTTAAAGATACAGTGCTGGACTGTGAGGAATGAATCACTTGAGAATAAGGAAGTGAGCATGTCTCTTCAGCAAATCAGGTGCGAGTTTATATGGATAATTTTTAGGACGTGCCCCACTTTGGCTGAGGACTTCTTTCGCTGCTTAGATCTACTTGCAGGAAGCCGGAGATTGTGAATTTTTGCTGTTTTGAAACCTACCTATTTATTCCATGACTACCGGGTAGAATTGGGAGTTGAACAGAGGGAACGTCTCAGTGCAATTAATTAGCTATTAAATCTAGGTAATAAAGGAAATAATTTTTAGTTACAAAGTCAATATATGCTGTCTTGTGCTGGACAATTTTAATCCATTACCTCACTTTAAGGAGTGATTTTGGAGGTGAGGTGAGAGCGCTAGTAAGGGCAAAGTCTGGATTGAAACAAGCTTATCAAAATTCGCGCATCCTGCTAGTCCTGGCATTTAGAGCTGCAGGGTACGTTGCTTGTTTTATAGGGTTTCCCGGAATCTGATCATGTCATTGAAAAAATTATACAGGTGGTGCTGAAGTCACAACAGAAGTTATTCAAGCCAGCGTGGGTGGAGCGGTTGAGCCTCACTCCGACCGGTATAGCTGCCTGTGTGCTTTGAGTGTCAGTTTGAATTAAAAAGTGGCGCCTTCCCAGCAAAATGATGTTGGCCATGTTACAGATCTCTCTGAGCTGGTCCATAATACCCTGACATGGAGATGCTGATAAGACTTCTTGATTGATACTGTACAACGTTGGCAAAATATTCAGGGTTCCGGCGCCTGTGGCTCACGCCTGTAATCCCTAGCTCTTGGAGCACGAGCGGGCGAATTGCTCAGGTCAGGAGTTCGAAACCAGCCTGAGCAAGAGCGAGACCCCGTCTCTACTATAAATAGAAAGAAATTAATGGCCAACTGATATAATAAAAAAAAAAAAATTAGCCGGCATGGTGCGCATGCCTGTAGTCCCAGCTACCCGGAGGCTGGGCAAGAAGATCACTCGAGCCAGGAGTTTGAGTGTGCTGTGAGCTAGGCTGACCCACGACGCTCACTCACTCTAGCCTGGCACAAAGCGGACTCTGTCCAAAAAAAAAAAAAAAAAAATTCAGGTTGATTAAGAATTAAAGTGTGGCGAGTGCGGGGCTCACGCCTGTAATCCTCGCACTCTGGAGGCAGAGCGGGCAGATTGCTCCAGGTCAGGATTCAAAACCAGCCTGAGCAGCGAGACCCTGTCTCTACTATAAATAGAAACAAATTAATTGGCCCACTAATAATAACAAAAAATTTACCGGCATGTGCGCATGCCTGTAGTCCCAGCTACTCGGGAGCTGAGGCAGAGGATTGCTTAGCCCAGGAGTGTGAGGTCTGTGAGCTAGGCTGACGCCAGGGCACTCACTCTTAGCCTGGGCAACAAAGTGAGACTCTGTCTCAAAAAAAAAGAATTAAAGTGTTACTGTTCTACTTGGGTTTCAGAATACAAAAGTGCTTGGAACACAAAAAATTTAATAGACATTTTAATATTGAAACAGAATTTAGGAAACGCGTTATTTCGTTTTCCCAGCCCTTCCCTCTTCCTTCCCTACGAAACCTGCTGATTCAGGAGCCCCGATTCTGTCCACCAGCCCCAAAAGTAAACACCCGCTTTGGCACAGAAGAGTGCTCATGGAGGCAACAAGGAGTCAGAACAGAAGAGCAAGAAGGTGTTCTTGACCACCAGCTGTGTGTATAATGACAGGTATCGGCAGAATAGTCAGCCTCAGCAGATGCAAGCTTTCAACATCTAACTTCAGCTACCAAACCTGAGATGGTTCTTTTTCACTGCAATACGATACAAAAATAGGGCACCATGGACTTCTCTATATTTGCCACCTGTGGAGGTTTGACATGCATCTTATATTAAAAATCAAAATGTATCCACAGGCTATTGATCGTCAGCATATGAATACGTGAAATGTACACCACCTATCTCATGCCATTGCTTAGCTGATGTATTTTTATCAAGAGCACCATTCCGCATAACAATCAAGATATTGAAGTACGTGCAAACTTCTGTATTTTTTTTTTTCTTTTTGAGACAGAATCTCACTCTGTTTACTGAGCAGAGTGCCCTGCGTCATTCGAGCTCACACAACCTCAACTCTGGCTCAAGGGATCCTCCTCCGGCCTTCCCAGTAGCTGACTAAAAGGGTGGTGCCATGACACCCTGCTCAATTTCTCTATTTTTTAGTAATACAGGTCTCGCTCTGTTCAGGCTGCGTTTGAACCACAGCTCAAGTGATCCCCCCACCTCGGCCTCCAGATGAGGTTATTTTTTTTTTTTTTTTTTGAGACAAGTCTCTTTATTGCCAGCTAGAGTGAGGCGGGCGCACCTTAGCTCACAGCAACCTCAAATCTTGGTCAGCATCCCTGCTCTAGCCTCCAAGTAGCGGAACTACAGCATGCGACCACCGCATGACCCAGCTAATCTTTCCTATACCATTTTTGGCCAATTGATTTCTTCTAATTTAGATAGTAGAGAACCGTGTCTCACTCTTGCCCAGGCCGGTTTAGAACTCCTGACCTTAGAGCAATCCACCCCGCCTTCTGCCTCCCCAGAGCGCCAGATACCTAGGCTGTGAGCCACCTGCGGAAGCCCAAGTTTCAAATTTTGTTCCTGAGCTTTAGATAGTTGTAGCTGTCAGGAATAAAAGTTCTTTGATTCAAAGTACATGTGCATTACTAGTATCTTATAATTCCTGGCACTTCTTCCTGCAGGTTAAGACCTGGTTCCAGAACCAGAGAATGAAATCTAAGAGGTGGCAGAAAAACAACTGGTCAAAGAATGTCAACAGCCTGACCCAGTTTCAGGTAACAGGAAACTTTGTTCTGCTGCTGCTTCCCTTCAGTCACCTTTTAGTTTTGTCCATCCCTGAAGCACACAGCTCCAACCATAGACAATTCTGACTTCCTTGTACCCTTTCAATTAATCCACCGTTCTCTTTCAGACGGCCTCGGCACCTACGGAATACCCAGGCCTCTACTCTTCCTACCACCAGGCGTGCCTGATGAACACATCTGGAAACCTTCCAGTGTGGAGCAACCAGACCTGGAACAACCAGACCTGGAACAGCAGCCAGCCTTGGAGCAACCATTCCTGGAACAGTCAGACCTGGTGCAGCCCAGCCTGTAACAACCAGGCCTGGAACAACAACCCCTTCCTTAACTGCGGGGAGGAAACGCTACAATCCTGCCTGCAGTTCCAGCAAAATTTTCTTGCCAGTGATTTGGAAGCTGCTTTGGAAACTGCCGGAGAAAGCCTCAATGTAATACAACAAGCCGCTAAATATTTTAGCTCCCCACAAGCCATGGAGTCATTCCTAAATTACTCAATGAGCATGCCACCTGAAGATGTGTGAAGATGGGTGTTACTCAAATTCAGTCTGGGCAGGACTTGCAGGATTTTTCTTGTTTTAGAACTAAGTATTCTGCCTCTGTATTCTGGTTCTTGGTGTGCATATTGCATTGAATTTGGGGGTGGGGAATGACTGGAGTCTAATCAGAGAGGTTCCAAAAACCTTGGCTGCTACAGACGATAGTGATAGAGGACTCTCTGGCTATAGATAAGTAGATATAATACTAGTATGGATAGCTTTAGGATTTAGAATCTAACCGCAAGAATAGAAAGTACAAAGGTGTGAAGGATTGGGAGGCTTTACTTATTAAAACCTCAATTGTGCAGGTGAAGTGTGAAGCTAGAATACACTTCATCGATTTCCTCTGCCCCTTTTGGCACTGTGTTTTACTACAACCTCTAATTTGTTCCTTACGCTAACATTTGTAGAAAGATCTATTGTATTTGGCTGCATCATGATAGTATCAGTACCAGTTTGCCTGGTTTAAGTACAAATAAATAAAATCCATTTTACCTTTAGTTGTCTGCCCTGATTTCACCTGTTTCAATGAGTAAAATTATGATTAAATGTCGAAATATGGTCTTTGTTAATTTTTTTTTTGAGATAAGAATCTCACCCTGTTGCCCTAGGTAGAGTGCAGTGGTGTCATTGTAGCTCACTGCAACCTAAAACTCTGGGCTGCATGCAATCGATCCTCCTGCCTTAGTCTCCTGAACAGCTGGGACTATAGGCACACACCACCTTAGTCAGCTAATTTTTCTTTTTTTTTTTTTTTTTTTTTTTTTTTTTATTTTTCTATTTTTAGTAGAGATAGGGTCTCACTTTTGCTTAGGCTGGTCTCAAACTCCTGAGTTTAAGCAATCCTGCCTCTGCCTCCCAGAGTGCTAAGATTACAGGCATAGCCACCTCGACCGGCCAATTTTTTTTTTTTTAATTGTCACATACTTGAGCTTTATGCCAAGCCCTATGTATTTTGTGAACTGAATAGATAATGAAAATGGCATTGGTTGAACAATTAAAATAATACATGGGGCCAAGTGTCGTGGCTCACGCCTGTAATCCTAGCACTCTGGGAGGCAGAGGGGCGGATTGCTCGAGGTCAGGAGTTCAAAACCTGCCTGAGCAAGAGCGAGACCCCGTCTCTACTATAAATAGAAAGAAATTAATTGGCCAACTAATGCATACAGAAAAATTAGCTGGGCATGGTGGCGCATGCCTGTAGTCCCAGCTACTCTGGAGGCTGAGGCAGAAGGTTGGCTTGAGCCCCGGAGTTGGAGGTTGCATTGAGCTATGATGATGCCACTGCACTCTAGCATGAGTGACAGAGTGAGACCCTGTTTCAAGAAAAAGGGGGAAGGGCAATATACATAACCTTAACATTTGTACCCCCATAATATGCTGAAAAAAAACTAAAGAGGCTAGGTGTGGTGGCTCATGCCTGTAATCCTAGCAATCTGAGAGGCCTAGGCAGGTGGATCACTCAAGGTCAGGAGTTCGAAACCAACCTGAGCAAGAGTGAGAATCCGTCTCTACTATAAATAGAAAGAAATTAATTGGCCAACTAAAAATATATAGAAAAATTAGTCGGGCATGGTGGCACATGCCTGTAGTCCCAGCTACTGGGGAGGCTGAGGCAGGAGGATCACTTGAGCCCAGAAGTTTGAGGTTGCTGTGAGCTAGGCTGACGCCACGGCACTCACTCTAGCCTGGGCAACAGAGTGAGACTCTGTCTCAAAAAAAAAAAAGAAAAAGAAAGAGCACCAGTAAATTTGAAGAAGTACTAAATAGTGAACCAGGGCCTAGAGGCTTAGGGTAAATAGCTATTATAAACTATTAAGCTGGGAAACTCTAAATTTAGTTTTCCATTGCTGAATCGTGTCACAGAACTCTTCCTATACACATGACTGCTCCTTGTCTTCACTTTGTATTCAGTTCAGCTATAAGACAACTGGGGCAGAGAGTTCTAAGCCATGAAAGCAGTGAGCATTTGTATTTCTTGGAACCTGATTAAGACTGATATGGAGCCCAGCACGGTGGCTCACACCTGTAATCCTAGCAGAGGAGGGCAGATTGCTCGAGGTCAGGAGTTCAAAACCAGCCTGAGCAAGACTCTGTCTCTACTATAAATAGAAAGAAATTAATTGGCCAACTATATATATATATATAAATTAGCCGGGCATGAGGCACATGCTGCAGTCCAGCTACTTGGAGGCTGACGGCAGGAGGATCATTGAGCCCATGGAGTTTGTTGCTTGTGTAGGTGACCCACGGCACTCACTCTAGCCTGGGGCAACAAGTGGACTCTGTCTCAAAAAAAAAAGACGTAGGCGGGCGCGGTGGCTCACGCCTGTAATCCTAAGCTCTCTGGGAGGCCAAAGTGGGCGGATTGCTCAAGGTCAGGAGTTCAAACCAGCCTGAGCAAGAGCAGACCCCGTTCTACTATAAATAGAAAGAATAATTGGCCAACTGATATATATATAAAAATTAGCCGGCATGGTGGCGCATGCTGTGGTCCAGCTACTTGGGAGGCTGAGGCGAAAGGATCGCTCGAGCCAAGAGTTTTGAGGTTGCTGTGAGCTAGGCTGATGCCACGGCACTCACTCTAGCCTGGGGACAAAGCGACTCTGTCTCAAAAAAAAAAAAAGACTGATATGGCAGATTCGCCCTCCCAAAGGGTTGAGTCTTGAGGAGATGAGAGGAATCATTTTTAACATGTGAACCTCACGAGAGAAAGATTGATCCGGAAAGAGACTGGGGTTAGCACTCGCCTGTGGCGGTTCAGTGGGCAGCTCCGAAGGAGCCTGCAGAGCCTTGCATAGATTGAGCATGTGAAGTACGACTGTAGGATTACTGAGAGGCTGAGAAGGATATCAGACTTAGAGATGTGGGATGTAGGTAGGAGAGGGAAGATGTTGAGTTGCAAAAAGGCTTGGAGCACCTATTTTGTTGAAAACGTCAAGCTAGATACTGGATAACGCAGTAAGAGAAGGGAGGAAAAAGGAATGAAAGATTAGGAAAAAAAAGGGAAAAATTGATTTCTGGTTTTCACTGTTCAATTTGCTTTTGGAAACTAACCATTCATGGAAATGCGATTTATTTTTTCCTACACCTAACAGGTAGATATTCAAATAAAGGTGAAAAATCTAGACAGAATATTGTAGGCTGGGCGCGGTGGCTCACGCCTGTAATACTAGCACTCTGGGAGGCGAGGCGGGCAGATTGCTCAGGTCAGGAGTCGAAACCAGCCTGGCAGAGCGAGACCCTGTCTCTACTGTAAATACAAAAATTATCCAACTAATATATATAGTAAAAAGTAGCCGGCATGGTGACGCATGCCGTCAGTCCAGCTACCTGGGAGCTGAGGCAGTAGGATTGCTTGAGCCCAGGAGTTTGAGGTTGCTGTGAGCTAGGCTGACACCACGGCACTCACTCTAATCTGGGCAACAAAGCGAGACTCTGTCTCAAAAAAATAAATAAAAAAATAGACAGAAGATTGTAAAATCCAGTCATCAAGGCACCAAAGAAAATATTGATTTTTTTTCTTAGAGGACTAGACTTTTTGATTCCAAAACTAAAACTTCCTATTAAAAACAAATTTAAGCAATAGAGAAATAGAGAATGAAGTTAATCTACCAATTACATCTATTCAGAGATAAACAACAGTTTAGCTTTTATTCCTATAGGGGATCTTTTTTAGGCTAGTCAAAACTATTTTAGTATATATAATATGAGTGATTTTTGTGTGAATTTTTACAGATATATTATAGCAAAACTATACTATCATTTTCTTTATCAGACTTCAGTGAGCACCAATACATTTTCTTCTGAAAGCTATTTTTTTACTTAGCATTACATCTTCAACTTCTTTGCATGTCAAAACTTAGATCTATTTACAATAATCTCAAAAATATTAACAGGATAACAACTACATTCAAAACAATAAGATTTCTCAGAAAGAAATTAGCCAGACAACTAAAAATATATAGAAAAAATTAGCCAGGCATTGGTGTATATAGCCAGACAACTAAAACAACAAGAAGGCCAGGCGAGGTGGCTCACGCCTGTAATCCTAGCACTCTGGGAGGCCGAGGTGGGCGGATAGCTTGAAGTCAGGAGTTCGAAACCAGCCTGAGCGAGACCCCTGTCTCTACCAAAAATAGAAAGAAATTAATTGACCAACTAAAAATATATACACACAAAATATTAGCCGGGCATGGTGGCGCATGCCTGTAGTCCCAGCTACTCGGGAGGCTGAGGCAGGAGGATCACTTGAGCCCAGGAATTGGAGGTTGCTGTGAGCTAGGCTGACACCATGGCACTCTAGCCAGGGCAACAGAGTGAGACTCTGTCTCAAAAACAAACAAACAAAGAAACAAACAAACTTCTGCTTATATAAACTTAGTGTTAAAAATATTTATAAAATATTCAAACAAGATATCATTACATAAAGTTAAAAGACAACCACTGGTAACTTTGATGTTATCTTACAGACATTTTTATGCATACACATGATATAAACATAATTACTGTTAAACATTTTTCCCTATTTTGGATTTTGTTCTGCAACTTGCTTTTTCTACATAATGTGTCACAGATAGCATTCCATATCAGTAAATTTAGATCTGACTTGACTTGTTCTTTTTTTTGGACAGAGTCTTGTTTTGTTGCCCAGGCTAGAGTGAGTGCTATGGCGTCAGCCTAGCTCACAGCAACCTCAAACTCCTGGGCTGAAGCAATCCTGCTGCCTCAGCCTCCCCAGTAGCTAGGACTACAGGCATGTGCCACCCTGCCCAGCTGATTTTTTTCTATATATATTAGTTGGCCAATTAATTACTTTCTATTTATAGTAGAGACGGGTCTTGCTCTTGCTCAGGCTGGTTTTGAACTCCTGACCTCAGGCAATCCACCTGCCTCGGCCTCCCAGAGTGCTAGGATTATAGGCGTGAGCCACGGTGCCCAGCCTTGACTCATTGTAATTACTGTGCAGTATTATAGATGTACTGCAATTTATTTAAGTTGTTTCTATTTCTGTTTTCGTAATTTGCCACTACAAACAACTAATGTTGCTATTAACATCTTGAAATTAATTTTCTTTATTTTTGTTTTTTGTTTTGAGAGGGGTCTTGCTCTTGCTCAGGCTGGTCTTGAACTCCTGGTCTCAAGCAATTCCACCACACCCGGCCTTTGACATTAATTTAAATAAATGTTAAGATGTAGATATGGTTTTTACAGAGTGCTAGGGTTATAGGCGTGAGCCACTGGGCCCGGCCAAGATATAGCTATGTTTTTTAAAATGAAAAAAATACTTTCATAGGCCGGGCGCGGTGGCTCACGCCTATAATCCTAGCTCTCTTGGAGGCCAAAGCGGGCGGATTGCTCAAGGTCAGGAGTTCGAAATCAGCCTTAGCAAGAGTGAGACCCCGTCTTTACTATATATAGAAAGAAATTAATTGGCCAACTAATAT